GGGTCGTCTGACAGAGGTGTGCTTCAGAGCCTCAAGACAATGGTTGTCTTGTCTCTCAGGCACTTCAAAAGTGTCGCACACCCAGTGTAAACCAGTTCTCAGTCAGTTCATCGTAATCAACTGAAATTGACTATTGGGACCATCTACTCCTTGTTCCTTTTGTGCCCTTTGTGCTGGCTCTGGAAGTCATTGCCTGTTTTTATTTCCCCAGTTTGGTTGGAAAGAAAGTTACGGAGTTGCTTTTCCTGGCATCATAAGAATGACGTTTGTGTGTAGTTATCAGCCCTGAGTCTGGCTGGATCTGTCAAGTCTTTAGCAGATAAAAGTGAAGGAAGGGCCTCTTTGGGCTCTTGTAGTTATGAGATTGCTGGCAATGACAATCTTCGAGGAGCTCACCTTGATAGACGCTTCTTTGTTTTTGTTCGGACACAGACTTAACAGATTAGATCTGCCAGAATCAGTGAACTAGTCTGCTTGATGTTTGAAGATACCAGGTGACTATGAGCAAGGATGCAACGTAGATTAGAAGGTCATAAAGGACATTCTGTTCTAAGCCTTGTGCAATAACCAACTGGAGGGCTGTCTTTTCTGGACTTACCCTGAGGGATGATGGGCCCAAGAGAGAGGATCTGAGTGGAAAGGCTGTAGGCTGGGATCACCCAAAACATCCTCCTGCTCCAGTGCAGGGACCAGGGCATCACGTCTCTCTGGGGTGGGATTCTCATAGCAGATCAAGTGCTTCTGGTCAGGTGTCTTCCCTCTGCTTTCATGCTTCTGCTGCTTCCACCAAGCTCAGCTCCTAAAATGCCATGTGGACTCCAGAGCACTGGTGGTGTGCTGATTTCAGGACTCACATTAAGAGCAGGAGAGGAGGAGGCGCAGGAGTGGAAGCAGCAGGGAGGAGAAATGAAACAGGGAGTCACGTGGAAAAGAGAGACAGGCAATCTAGACCACTTAGGATCATGACCTGGATATCCGGCATCTCCCTTACTGACAGAAGGCTTGCCGGAAAGGACTGCATTTTCAAGGACATGTTAGATTCTGGTGACACTTGACTTGGGATTTCCCCGGCCTCCAAGTCACCAACTGCATGTGTCATGTTTCTTTGCATTCTGCAGTTATGAAGGCATTGATGTTTTTGAAGAAATGGAGGGCTGTAGAAATCAGTAGCTGCGTGGGCTTTGTTCTTGTGTTGAATTCACTGGAGGATACCGCTCTCATTTGTATACTCAACAGTGTGACTTCACCCGTAATTGAATGTTACTTGTTCATTTTTTTTTTCCCCTGGAGAGAAATCAGAGCTTCTTAAATCAGAGATGTTTCTCAGCCTGGGGAAGATGGAGACTTTTCACAATCTGTGTTTCCCCAGTTGGCATAGATGTGAAAGCCAGTGGGGAAAGTACCAGTTGAAAAAAGTATTCAGAGCGGCATTTATTCAAGACCGGAAACAGATCAGGTGGCTTATGGAGCAGAGAGATAGATGTCTTCCCTTAAGACTTAACTCGCGAGCTTCAGCACTGACTGAGCAGAGCTAATGTACTCTTTTCTGAAAGGAAATGGGGCCGAGAAGAATGATGACAGCAAAATGCTCAAACAGAAAAAAAATCACAACTTTTTATCGAATTCTCGTTTGCGATGTGTGGTGTAAACTTATCAATCATTGTGTGACATTTTACAGTGTAGCAAGATTTTGGTGTTTGTGAAACATCATTTTGAAATTGCCCCAAACTAGATTTCTCTCTCTCCCTTTCTTTCTCTCTCTCTCGTCAAACTGACGTTGGGTACAAGTTTATGAATCTTGAATGACAAGTCTATTCGCTCAAACTCTTTTGATTGCAAGTTACAGAAGTAAACTTGAGTTTTCTTAAAAAAAAATAAAAGGTGGGGTGGAATTTTGTCAAAAAGAAAAGTTATGTCTTGGGGAGCTTCAGACAAGAAATCCAGCTGGGTCCCTGGAATGTTCTGGAATTCAATTCTGGAAAGCTCTCAAGTGACTGTCGCCTTTCTGGGCTGCCTCTCCATTCATTTTGCTCTGTGTTTCTTGATCTCATCAGATCTGCCTTTATGGCAGATGGAGACTTTCCCATAGCTCCCAAACTGCCGTAATTTCAATCTCCCAGTGTGACTGCACAGCGGTTCAAAGCCTGGTTTCACGTCCTTGGAAGGGAGCATCTGTTTGCTACTCAGACCCCATCCTCTTGGGTCAGAAAGCCATCCCCGGTTTCACCATCCACAGTATGAAAATGGATTCTGGGGGCCCTGCTCTGTGGACTTGGGGGCGGGGGCGGGGAAGTTTCGAGAAGAAGAAAGTTGTGATGGGCTTGGTGTGTTGTGCCAAATTCATCTGTCCTACTGTGTGCCAAGTGAGGTGCTGCCTGGCCTCAAGGATGCTCTGAATAAGTATTTGTCAAATGAAATATTTATTGACTGGATATAAGAACATATTTGGTTAGATAAAGAAGGCCATTTTTGCATTTTTAATTTTCATAATAGAACTCTATGTTGATTTTATCATCCCAGGTAACTTAAAACTTAAGTTACATTTGTTAAAATCATTGGATTTCTAGCTGTTTCTTTGTATCTGTAACATCATTTTAAAATTTAAAAAAGATAAATTGCTGTGAGAACATATGAATGACTTAATATACATATTAATTCATTTTAATAATATTTTTTCTTTATTTTTTTTAAATTTATTTGCTATTCATGAAGACTAAGCCTGGAGTAATTCGCCCTGTACCTGTGAAATCCAAAATCCTGCTGACACAAGAGGAGGAGGTCTACGAACCCAACCCTTTCAGTAAATACCTGGAAGACAACAGTGACTTCTTTTCTGAGCAGGTGAGCGTGCACACGAGAAAATCTTTGGTATTTGGATAAATAACTGTATGAAATAGAGAGATGCTTTTTTGAATAGAGTACGTGCAAGAAAATATTTATGTGATGGGACTATCCTTAGTAATAAACAAGATCTATGTTTTTGTATAATAAAAAAATTCGTAAGTATTTCCAGAATGATATTTTGAAGTATTTAAATGCTTTTTTCCTAAAAGTTTTCTACTCAGTGCTGGGATCGTTTGGGCGACAAAGGCACTGCCGTCTGAAGACATCATGGAGTCACTGGTTGGAAGGGCCATATAGGTGTTGGTTTCTTATTTCTAAAATCCCCAGGGGGGAGGGTATGGCTCAAATGTGGAGTGTGTGCTCAGCATGCATGAGGTCTTGGGTTCAATCCCCAGGACCTCTGTTAAAAAAAAAATTAAGTAAATGAACCTAATTACCTGCCCCCCTCAAACAAACAAACAAACAAGCAACAACAAAAGAATTAAATCCTGCTTCCTTTTGAAGTGAAGCAATGCTTTATGTTAGTACATTTGACAAAAGGTCTCTTGTTTGGATTCATATCAGCTTAGTAGAGATGATGTGATCCCCTAGAGTGAATGGTACCTGTTAGGGAATAGGGGCTTACGTTATTCTAAGGCTTTGTTGGTCTTTGGTTTATGTGCAGATACGGTACACTGTCTTCCCCTTATGTAGCTGCTATGTTGAAGAAGGTATAATAGAAGGTTATTGATGGTGCTTTGTAAGTTACTGGGAAAAAATATAACAATATACACTTAGGCAACATACAAGTTCAAAGTTAGTTCAAAGAGAAACCTTACATCTTTGCTTGTCTTATTAAAATGCAAGAAACAGGTATGGGTTCTGTATTTTATGTCTCAAGCATCATTACAGGCTTAAGCAATGTATGCAGTCCAGAAAGCTTTCTGGATCCAACCAGGACACGCTAGATCACCATATTTGGGAATCTAGAATAACATAGATCAGCAAATGAATATAAGGCGCTGTACTCTTTGTAAATTCTAGTTTGAAAATGGTAACTAAAAGCAGTCTTGAAAATACAAATTACGTTCATCATCGTGATACCTAAGGACTGTCTTACCTGCACGCAGGAGCTGTGTGACACTGAGCAATTTGTCTCGTCTCGCCTGCCTTCTGGGTCTTAATGCATAACATGAGCTATTCAGATCGGGTACTTTTAAGCATCCTTCAAATTCTAAAATTTGAGTTCCTTAAAAATCTAAGGCGAACTGTGACTAGGGTAAAAGCCTTGAGAACTTTCATTGTAAATACTTTCTCATGCTTAGCTACAGTTTTTCTTTATAAAATGAAGATGATAACATTTTCTTATTTAGCAGTACTTTGTGAAGACTGAAAGGATGTTGGTAAGTCACACATTTTTAGAAGCCACTAACATCATTGAAAATGCTGATGATTAGAGGCAGTTATTATCACTTTATAGAATAAAATGTAGCCCTCACTTTATATTAAGTAAAGAAATCTTACTGAGATATAAGATTGTCTTCACTCCTTCTACATGTAACAGAAATGGAAATTCCTGGTAGGAAAATATATTTCCATCAACAAAAACATGTACTAAATAGCTATTGCTTATCTGACACTAATAATTTAGAGGCTTAATGTGACATTTTTGACAGTAGGGGATTGTTGTAAAAATTTATAAGAGTAGTCTAGTGTCATAGGACAAAAAATGCCAACATTTAAAATAAATTTCACACATTCTCCATGCAACACATTCTTCAAATAGGATCGGATGCTGTAAAATTATGTCTGTTTTTTTGTGTTAGTATAATTTCAAATGTATGCATTTTATCTTGAACAAGATTCTTTATAGAATGTCAAGTTTATCTACCTATAATTTGTCACCCATTTACTGTCCTCTGAAATGACAAAATTTTCAGGTGGCAGAAATTCTTCACGTTAAAAGGAGTTACCAATTCTTTTCATGACTTTTCCTGAACATACAGCCAGTTTGAAGCTCTGTTTATGTACCACAGAAACCTACGTACTTTCAGATAATTTGTGGAAGATCTGAGGTCTTTGACAAGCATTTGGGTACCACAGACATAGTCTCATTTATATTTTCTTTCAGTCAATTCGTTCTTGTGTGTATCCCAGCTTCCGTGTGGAACACGGGAAGTGCTGAGTCAGTAGACTGTCAGGATGGAAAGAGGTCTAGTGTCCTACTTAAAAGTGAATTCCAAGCATTCCCTGGTCTTATTCACTGACCTTGCAGGAGAGGAAAAATGCATATACTGGCAATTCGGAAGCCATCCCATATAATATATAGTCTATCAACGGACCTCTACGTCGGCTCGAACTACCATTTCCTTGGGTCCAGAATCCACAATGGAGGCAGATACAAAAGTCAGCTTACAAGGGGAGATGCTGAGATCTTAAAAAATAAATCGAGTAACAATCATTTTTATCTCAGCATCGCTACTTCGTCAGAACTTCAACAGAAGAGAGCGTACTCAGATTCAGCTCTAGTCACCACTGTGGCCGCTACTACAGAATAAATTGAATAGTTCCGAACTCAGTGGATCTCACCCACCCATGTAATGGGAAATTCTTTAGCCAGACAGCTGGGCCAAATTGAAATAGCTCATAGTCACTAATCTACCTTGTACCGGGGACAGTTCCACATGACGGGAGCTGTTGGATGGGGCTGTTAAGTCAATAAATTTCCCCCAGCGGCCTCGCGGCCATGAAATATGTTTTCAAAACTCTGTGAGAAAATGTCAGACACCGAAGAGGATGAGACCAGATGGAGGCGATTTCCTGTAGCTTAAGGAGGTACAGCCAGGCAGCCTTCGGAACTGATAATGAACTGAATATTTGCCTGGAGATAGCCTCCGAGTCCTAACAGCAAAGTTTGAAACCAAACGCCTGATCAAGTAACGGAGACTTATTCATCAACAGTTTTCACATCCAACTGGCAAAGGCCAGGAGACACCATTCTGCATCAGATGGATTTTCCCATAGAGACTCCTCAGAATGAAATGTGAGCTGTTCTGGAATTACCTTTCGATCCATTATTGTACCAACTTGTGGTCCTTTTGAGTTCTTCCAGAATATCCTCACGCTCCACATACAGATTTCAAACGCTGGTGGTGCACTTCAAAGCACGGTTCTGTTGATAATTAAAGGCAGAGGTGGAAAATAATGAACCGAATTGATTGGACGAATGGACCCCCAGAAGACAAGGAGGCTGAGAAAAATCCATTCACTGATGAAAATGAGGATACCAAAGAGACAAAAGGGTTTTTGTTTGTCTGACTGCTTGTGAGTTTGCAAAATATATTGATCGCTTTCTGGTCATTTAATGATCGAATTAGATACAGGTGATCTTCTGCATTTGCAGGTTCTCCACCTCATCTAAAAAGTGATTGCTAACCTAAGTTATAGAAAATGTTATATAAAATATCCTCTCATTCTTTATCAACTAATAATTCAACCCATAATATTAGCTACGTCATTTCTCTCTTGAAGCCCTAGAGAAATGTATAAAAAAGATTTTTGGACAGAAGTGAAGGGGGTCACATTGTTGTTTCATCTGATTTTTCCAGGAAATCTTTTTTTTTTTTAATGAGAAATAACATTTCCAGCATGCGTGCCTCTTAAATTTTATTTTCCTTCTAATTGCTTCAGTAGGGAAAAGAACATGTTTTTCGTGTGAGAATGACCATTTAATGAATTTCCTCCACACTGCTGTCACAGAGAACACGAAGGATCATGACAGGGGATTTTCTTTGTTGTAGTATTTTTGATCTTTCTTTTCTTCTGAGTTTTCTTAGGCATCTCTCTTCCCTACCAAACTCTCTGTTTGACATTCAACTTTGACGATTACGTGGGTGACTTTCAGTTTTCTATCTGGTTATTCATGGAGCTGTATGTTTACCGTGACTCTCACCTTTTCCCCCTTATGTCAGCCACGTGTTACTGTTACAGAGCAAACACCTCTGTCAAAAGGTGAAGTAGATAACCCTACTGCCTTTTATTCTGGATGGCTTCTTGCTTTGCCACAAACTGCTACTTTTTCAACATTTGTTTCTCGAATCACGATGGTTCACTCACATGTAATCATTTATTCATTGGCCAAGTAGGAACAACTTTTTGATACCTCTAAGGAAGTTTTTTTCTATTGCTCTCTTAATTTATCTAGGTCAGCATTTCCCGTGAGTTTAAACAAAAGTAAAAGTTTCTGTAACCAGTAAATCTGAGAAATGTTAAACGAGCTTCATTTTCTTCAGGACTTCTTTTCTCCATCGTGACTCTGCAGATAGCAAAACGTAGTTTTTTTTTTTTTTTTTTTGCAAATCTGTAATCACAAACCGTTTTCACTCAGGAACTCACTTTAAGAATGAAGATTTAGGTAAACGGGTGTGTGAAAATCGGTGTACAAATCTGAGATTATTTTGCACCCTTTAATTAGAACTGGTGGACTTGTGTAGGAAGTTAAGAAAACACGACGTCACTCTCTGATTCATAACTCTGCTGCGTGGATGGTTAACAGAAACAGGATGGGTGCTCCCTGAATGTCAGTGGACTCTGAAGATTTGGAAACCTTTGTAGAGAACCTAGGATTAACTGGCCACATGGTTTTCTTCTTAAAACTCTTCTATGCCAGCCCAAAAGGCTTTTTGTTTTTTTCTTTAAAGCAGTTTTCGTGATAACAATGCAATTGTAGTAGTTAGAAAGGGCTCCTCTATTTTGTGGTCAAATAGCAACCATTGTTATGACTTTACCTTTTTAAAAACTGAATGTGCCCAGCAACCAAATAATAAATCCTAAAATTTTATTTTTGAAAAAAAAAAAAGATGGTTCACTCCCTTTTGTTATAAATTTATCTTTCATCATTGCTAACCTTTTATTAAGAAATAGTTTTCAGATTAAAACATTTAACCTTTTTAAGGCTAGAAATGATTAAGTGGCTTCCTCAATAGTTTTGAAGGGAGAGATCTGAAATTTCTTTCAGG